ACGGCGGGCAAGTCCACGCTGGTGTGCTCCAGCGCGGTGGGGAGCTGGTCATACTCGCAGCAGAGGCGGCAGAGGGTGTGCTCTGGGGAGGGCCCACCCAAGATGGATCTCATGGCCTTCAGCCCCAGCCTTTCACCTTGTCCTGTTATGGGTAGGGCGGAGAATCAGGCTTTAAATGAAGATCATGATGCCAAAGTAAGTGAATTTTCATAATAGTTAATTTTTATTTTAAATTCATAATTTTTTCCGCAGATTTGTTTTCTATATTTCTGTTTTTAATTTTAATTAATTTTACAAAATTTACGTATTTTCATTTTATTCTGTTTCTTATTATAATCTCTTTGCTTCTCTAATATTTGTAATTTAAGTGGAATTAGAAATAATTGTCCACAATCGGCACCTCAGAATTCTTGTCTTCAAACCAAAATATTCTGGGACATGTCGTTTTCTGTTGCATTGTAATTCAGATTCTTAGTAGCATGTTTCTCTGATTAATTATATAGGATTTTCATTTGTTTGCCTTTGAGCTGTAGGAAATTTGTTTTTACGTATACTCTGTTTTGATAATATATTGATATTTGAGCACCACTGTATCACTTATGCTTTTACACTTTCCATTTCAATGTTTTTCTGCTGAGACTTTTATTAAGTTAACACTTTGATTTTATCCATTTTGTGTAAGAACTCTGATCATCATACTTTTTATCTGTGGTTCCCTTTCAGACTTGTGATTCCAGGAGACAATAGAGTTTATTTATTGTCCCCCTTTTAAACCGTTGAGGAATAAAGGACAAAAACAATAATTATCAGCCTGAATACTTCTGGTTGTAATGGCTGATTTATTTACTACTGATCTAAATACTGGAAAAATAGTGATTCAAGAGATTCTGGACCTTGTGATCAAGTAAATTTATATGAAAACTGCATTCCTCTGGCATTGCAGCTCTCTTATTTCTGTTTGAATTTCATTTGATGGTCTTCTCTTCATGGAGTCTAAATCTATTTTTTGTTTTAATGTTTTCACTGTTTCTACACAGTAATTTAAACTATTCACTATTTTCTGTGTGTGTGTGTGTGTGACAGGGTCTTGCTCTGTCACCCAGGCTGGAGTACAGTGGTGCAATAATGGCTCACTGCACCCTCGAGTTCCTGGGCTCAAGTGATTCTCTCACCTCAGCCACTGGAGTAGCGGGGACTACATGCGAGCACCACCATGCCCACCGACTTTTTTTTTTTTTTTTTTTGGAGAGACGGGGTTTCTCCATGTTGCCCAGCCTGGTCTCAAACTACTGGTTGCAAGTGATCTGCCCACCTTGGCCTCCCAGAGTACTAAGATTATAGGTGTGAGTCACTATGCTTGGCTATTCATTATTTCTTTAAATGAAAAGCAGCAAAAAGTAGTGATTAGGTGTGACTTTTGTTGCTATCCTACCTTGCCTAAACTTCATTGCTACCAATTTTGTTTTGTGGATGGATTGTTTCACCTCCATTTCAGTTTCTTCTGTAAAGTTGGAGTGATAAACACTAGTTTCAATGATAGAATTTTCTTAAAGCTTTAGTAAGTTGATACTGTAAGGTGCTTATAGCTGTGTTTGCCAAATAGTAAGTGCTTAATAAAATTTGCTACTAGTTTTCCAAAGAGGAAAATAAAAACTTTATGTCATTGTATGTTAGGAAGCTCTCATTACGGATTCCATATTGTTTTCATTTTAGGTAAAGATTGAGTTTTTGTTATTCATAGTGAGGCCATAATTACCAAATTAATCCAAGATGTCTCTAACATTTTAAATGCCATGTTCCACATCAAAAGTAATTTAAAATGTGTGTTTCAAAGTTGAAAATTGAATTAAGACTTGGACAGTGGAAAAGTTTTATGAATTCAAAAGACATTTAAACTGCTGAGTCCTCAGTGATTTCCTGAAGGTGGTTTTGACTTTTTGTGTTGTCCACGTTCCCAGGAAATATTAGACTATGTTAAGCCTGAATGGTGTATTTGCCCACATTTAAAAGTTGCTTAAGGGCCATTAGAGGACTGAGTTGAGGTTTGTGTTCCCTAATGTGAGCATTTTCCATTCTTGAAATGGCAGAAACCATTAGTAGTATTTTCTGTTTTCTAAAAGAAGTACATGATAATTTTTAAGCATATAATTAATATTGCACCAAAATTTAAAAAACTACCTCTACATACTTAAGAGTTATGGAATTGTCTCTGATTATACCGAAGATCACCATTTGTGTAGATAACGATATCTAACAATCTCAAAACAGCATACTTTCTTAGGAAGTAGAGAACTGCAGTGTTGCTAGTGAGTAAATGTTTTTTTAAGAGTTTCTGGGGGGGTCTTTAAGAGTGTCACACTGTGCCTGCTGAGAATCATCGAATTAACAACACCCAGTCCCTGGCTTCAAATTTAATAGATAAATAAAGATAAATATCCTACATAAATACGATGATAGTAAAAGGAAGAATATTGTAAGAGGTGCTAGAAAGGTACTTCACAGTGTTATTGGAATAGAAAAAAAGTATTTGCCTTTTTCCCTTGTTGAAGGAGTCCTTGAAGAGTCATGATGTTTTACTGGTTATAAAATGGAAAGAGTTTTTCCTGGGAGAATATGGAGACTAATAGGTATTCTTGAGAAGAGAGTAACTTAAGTGAGTACACGGAAAATTCCAAATGTACCTAGAAATAAGGAATAGTCAACTTTGGGTAAAGCACATGGTTCCTATAAGAGAGACTGTGATATAAAGCAAGAAAAGTAATATGAGAAAAACCTTTTGGGTAACTTTGAGTAATAGACAAGTAATTTTGACACTCTTCAAAAGTCGTTTGAAAGCTGTCAAAAAGTGTGAAGCAATGGGAATCAAAAGTGTTTAAGGAAAATGACTGCAAGGATTAAATGAAGGAGAATGAAATAGGAATGGACAGGTTACACAATAAGGAGCCACTGCAATACTCCAGGAAAGCAGCAATTATGAAAACTTATTTAGGAAAACATCTGGATACAGACATAATTATTTTACATTGCCGTTGGGAACATTGGAGTGAAACATTCAAGAAAACTAACACAGTAAGGTAGATCCGAAAAGGATGAAATAACTCAAGACTTGATCAAGGGGCTGCTTTATGTGAGATGGCTGAGCACTGAAATTTATCTAATAAAATAAACTTATATTATAAAAGAAATAATACAAATAATATTTGAGATTATATAAATAGGCAAATATCATAACACACAAGTGTTTGAAAGGATAGAATGAGGAAACAAATATAAAATCATGAACTCCTGAAACAGTATATTTAGATTCTGCTAAAGCAAAAAATTCAGAACACTTCCTCCTCACAAAGTTCACATGATACAAATTCTTCCCCTTCAAAGATTCCCCAAACCTTCTCTTATTTTGTTTTCCCAAGAAAAGTGTCTAGATAGGTGCTAATGTTTCTTGCCTCCTGAAAAGAAAACACACACACACACACACACACACACACACACACAC